ATTTTTAATGCCATATAACTTTTTAGAAATGTTGTCAAATGTGAGGAAACTTTATCAAATATTTTTGATGTATGAACTATAAGATTTCAGGTTATTTCAAATTTTTTTCTGGAGTGACTGATCTTAAGTATTAACTCAACTAGGGTGTCTTTAATATCTTTATGGAAATAATACTTTATGTTTACTGCATTGGTATCATGTTTCAAAACAACAAGAAATGTACATTTCCAAGATATGTACGTATGATATTTTAAATAAATGAATTAGCAAAACCTAAGACCTTGTACATCAATTCTTCTTAAAACTTACTTCTTCCTCTGAATCCATTACTGCATTTAATATTACCTGAAAATTTTGGTTATAATTTGCTTCTTAATATCAAAATATTTCTATTGATTTAATAACATATTTATCACTATTTCCTCACATTCCACCTATTTTGTAATCTAAATTTTTTTTCTACAAGAAAAAAATTGATCCAACAAACAAAAATTCGACAAGAAAAAAATTGATCCAACAAAAATGAAACCCTCTGTTACTGTCCAAATCAGGCATCTGTTATTCCTCATGTGTTTTATTAAAACATTCTGAAATGTCTTTCAAATTGCAATTGAATGACATTTTTGAGCCACATAAACTTTTTGAATAAAATTTAGCATTTTATTTGTGTTTGGATTCCACTTCTGAGATTTTGAAAATATGTTTTAGAATGCTTAACATGATTTTATACCCATATTGCAAAGTGTGAACAGCTTTAAAAGTGGGCAGATGATCTCATTACACTTATAAAAAAAAATCCAAATTGGCAGCTAGCTGAATCTGAAATAAGAGTATATAAGAAACTGCAAGGTAGTAAGAGCTGACGAACTTAGGTAGTGTGGAGGTAGCCTTTTCCCTGATTAGGTTCAGACCTGTACAAGCACGTATTATACAAATCCCTGGTGTCACGACTTTATGTGAGTCAGAAGTCCAGGTCATAAAAGTATTTCTGGAAGACATCACAACATCAGGAAGGTTGGCAATAACTTAAAAATATATAGATGTGACTCTGAACATGAATATATTATGCTAAATTCTAACTAAATGTATCTCAAATCTTGTTTCCCTAGCTGGATCGCAGAAATAACTCTAGCCATTTCAAAATCTCTCACAAGAGGGAAAGTATGCAGGCTAGAAGCAGCGGTCCTAAACAACTGTGGTTAAAATACCTTAAGCATGCAAGTTTTGATAAAATTTAACTTCACAATAAATCTGCTCCAGGAGGCGAAGGGTCAAGAACAAGAAGACATATAAAAACAAGAGAAATCTCATAAGCAGGAGACGGAAATGAATGTGGTCAAAACTGAATATATTTAAATATACTAGTATGAATTAAAGATAATTGAAGTAACCCATGAATAGTCTCTAGATTTTTTTGTATTCTGAGAAATTTCTACTATGGTGTTTAAAATGATTTTACATTAACCATGTGCCTAAATTTAGAAGCCATTATTATGTGTATTCGAGTTCAGTTGTTCTGAATTAGTTTTCTAATGCTGTGTAACAAATTACCACAAGAGTTAATGTCCTAAAGTAACACACATTAATTTTCCCACAGCCTATGTGAGTCAGGAATCCAGGCACAGCTTAGCTGGGTCCTTTGCTCAGGTTCACACACAGTTGCAATTGTGTTTTCAGTTGGGCTGCACCCTCATCTGGAGGCCCACCTGGAAAATAATCTGTTTCTGGACTCACACAGCTTGTTGGAAAAATTTATTTTCTTGTCACTGTTTGGCCATGGCTCTCAGTTCCTAAATGTCAGCTGAGGTTCCTTACCACGTGGCTTTCCCCATAAGCTATTCATAGCCTAGAGGATGTTTCTTCAAGGCCAGCAGAAGACTTTCTCTGTCTCTACTCTGCTACCACAGAGTCTTGTATAATGTAAGACTTAATAATATCCCATCATTTTGCCATATTACATTGTTGGAAGGAGGTCAGATTTTCACCTATGCTCGAGAGGATTTTACCAGGAGACAGACATGTCAGCGGTAGTCTTAGAGCTCTCCCTGCTAGATTATAGAAACTATTGATTCACAATGATTTCATAAATTTTAAAAAGTTGCATAATAATTGCAAGCATCATACAGCTAGCTAATGATGTCAGGTAAAATCTAATTAAGTTTGAATAAGAAACAAGTTTAAGAAACATTTGACATCTGTTTGGAAAAATGGAGAATCTTCATGAGGAGAGAGAACCTGAATAGCTCACCCCATATTTTCTTATTTTGCTTTTGATTATAATTAAAAAGTTTATTTTTACTTATTGATTTTACTTTTATAGGACATATATAAGAGTATAATGTTCTATCTGAACAAGTTGACCAGGGTAAGTTGATATTTGAAGAAAAATATTATTGGTTCTTTTACTGAGAGAGAATCTGCAAATAAATATTAAGTGCAAGGGTCTGTAATACTGCATTACCATCTTCCATGAAGGATTCAAAATCTAATGAGAAAACAGAGTTTCTATACTCTTTTTCTACATAATAAATGCAAAGAATCATGTGGAAACAAAGCTAATGGAACAAGTAATTATTCTCATGTCTCCTGGAGATTTTCAAGAGGAGGCAGTATTTAGAAAGAATATGTAAAATTGTACAAATGGAAGAAAGGGTGATGGGAAGTATCACAGAAAAAAGAATCAGTTTGTGCAAAAGCTGACAGGTTGAAAGAAAAGATTTAACTTGAGGAATATTGAAAATAGATTTGTGTTTAAGATTCAGAGAAGTGTGATAGATAGTTTAGGGGCAGTTCAAGAAAAAGCATGGATTCCAGCTGTAGAGTAGGATCACATTCTTCGAGCAATGAGGATATATATATATATATATTTTCATTATTTGTTTGCTTGTCTTTGAGATGGAGTTTCACTCTTGTTGCCCAGGCTGGAGTGCAATGGCACGATCTTTACTCATGGTCACCTCTGCCTCCTGGGTTTAAGCAATTCTCCTGCCTCAGCCTCCCGAGTAGCTGGGATTACAAGCTTGTGCCACCATGCCTGGCTAATTTTGTATTTTTAGTAGAGATTGGGTTTTTCCATGTTGATCAGGCTGGTCTTGAGCTCCCAATCTCAGGTGATATGCCCACCTTGGCCTCCCACAGTGCTGGGCTTACAGGCACATTTTTGCTTTTCTTTAAAATTTTAAATGTAATTTTTCTATACATTAATTGTAGTGGTGATAAATGAATGAAATGAACATTTGAATATATATATACACACCCATACACAAACATATATATTTATTTTTATGCTTATTACAGAAAATCATTAAGAACATGGTGATATAGCTTGTCTTTGTGTCCCAGTCAAATCTGATCTTGAACTGTAATTCCTATAATCCCCACGTCTTGTGGGAGAGACCCAGTAAGAGGTAATTGGATCATGGGGCTGGTTATTTCCATCATGCTGTTGTCATCATAGTGAGTGACTTGTCAGGAGATCTGATGGTCTTATAAGAGGGTTCCCCACCCCTTTGCTCTGCACGTTTTATTGCTACCCTGAACCCTTAACATGGGTTAGGAAGGACATTTGCTTCCCCTTCCACTATGATTGTAAGTTTCCTGAGGCTTCTCAAACCGTGCTGAACTGTGAGTCAATTAAAACTCTTTTCTTTATAAATTACCCAGTCTCAGATATGTCTTTATTAGCAGCATGGGAATGAACTAAAACAGTAAATTGGTACCAGGTAGGGAGGTGCTGCTGTAAAGATACATGAAAATGTGGAAGCAACTTATTTGGAACAGATAACAGGCAGAGGCCGGAATAGTTTGGAGGGCTCAAAAGAAAACAAGAAAGTATGGGAAAATTTAGAACTTCCAGGAAACATGTTGAATGGCTTTGACCAAAATGCCAATAGTGATATGGACAGTAAATTCCAACTGAAGTAGTCTCAGGTGGAGATGAGAAATTTGGTGGAACTGGAGTAAAGATCTCTCTTGCAATGGAAAGAGACTGGCAGCATTTTTTCCCTGCCCTAGAGATCTGTGGAAAATTGACGTTGACAGAGATGATTTAGGGTGTCTGGCAGAAAAAAATTCTAAGCGGCAAAATGTTCAAGAGGAAACAGAATAAAGTTTAGAAACTTTGCAGTCTGACTATGTGAAAGAAAAGAAAATCACATTTTCTTGGGAGAAATTGAAGCCAGCTGCAGAAATTTGTCTAAGCGACAAGAAGCTGAATGGTAACCAAAAAGACAATGGAGAAAATGTCTCTAGGGCATGTCAGAGAACTTCACAGCAGCCCGTCTCATAACAGGCCTGAAGACTTAAGAGGAAAAAATGGTTTCCTGGGCCCCACTGCTGTGTGCAGCCTGCGTATTTGGTGCGCTGCATCCCTTAGCTAAAAGGGGTTAAGGTACAGCTCAGGTCATGGCTTCAGAGAATACAAACCCCAAGTGTTAGCAGCTTCCACATGGTGTTGAGTCTGAGGGTGCACAAAAGCCAAGAATTGAGGTTTGGGAACCTCCACCTAGATTTCAGAGTATGTATGGAAATACCTGGAAGTCCAGGCAGAAATTTGCTGCAGGGATGGGGCCCTCATTGAGAACTTCTGCTAGGGAACTATGAAAGGGAAATGTGGGGTTGAAGCCCCACACAGAGTCTCCACTGGGACACTGCCTATTGGAGCAATAAGAAGAGGACCACTATTGTTCAGACCCCCGAATGGTAGATCTACCAACAGCTTGTATCTTGTGCCTGGAAAAACTGCAGACACTCAATGCCAGCCCGTGAAATGGCCAGGAGGAGAGCTGTACCCTGCAAAGTCACAGTCACAGGGGCAGAGATGCCCATGGGCATGGGAGCCTGTTGCATCAATGTGACCTGCATGTGAGACATGGAGTTAAAGAAAATCATTTTGGAACTTTAAAGTTTAATGACTGCCATATTGGATTTAAAAATTATATGAGGCCTTTAGCCCTTTTCTTTTGGATAATTTCTCCCATTTCAAACGTATGTATTTACCCAGTGCCTGTACCCTCATTGTACCTAGGTAGTAACTCACTTGCTTTTGATTTTATAGACTCATAAGTGGAAGGGAATTGCCTTATCTGAGATGAGACTTTGAAGTAGGACTTTTGAGTTAATGCTGGAATGAGTTAAGACTTTGAGGTAATATTGGGAAGGCATGATGGGGTTTTGAAATGTGAAGACATGAGATTTGGGAGAGGGAGGGGTGGAATGATGTGGTTTTGCTTTGTGTCCCCACCCAAACTCATCTTGAATTTTAGCTCTTGTAATCCCCATGTGTCATTGGAAGGACCCAGTGGGAGGTAATTGAATCATGTGTGTGGTTAGCTCCATGCTCTTCTGGTGATAGTGAGTTTTCATGAGATCTGAGGTGTAGGGGGGAACCCCACAAATGCTGTGGCAAAAGTCTGAAGACACAGCCTGTTCCCATATAAATATTGATTTAGAAAAGAATTAGAAATGTAGGCACATAGTTATTCCTTTATATAATCATATATAATCTTATAGTTACTCACTTACAATCATAAAGATATATACTCCGTATAACCTTTAATTTTACTAATGACTACCGGGTTATGAAGCATGGAGCTGAGGTGACATTGTGAACAAAGTGATCCTAAGGCAAGATGCTCTAAGCCCTCTGTCACGCCGCATAAGGGCTGCTGGAGGGCGCCTCGGCTGTGCAGCCGCACCAGTGCTGTGAAAGCGCCCGCTGTTTAGCCAGCTAGGGAAGGAGATGTCCAAAATGACCGAGATATCTTCCTGGGGAGGTTAGGAGAAAACTCCGCTTCTCCAAGCTCTTGTGGCAAGGCCTGACAGCTGTCGGAAAACCCACAGACATCGGCTGCTTAACTGTCTCCATGTGAGGCTGCGCTTCAGTGGTCACGTTCCATGGCTGCTCTCATGCTCTGCTTCTGCACTGGTCTCTCTTCTTCTTAACAGATAAGAATTAATAATAATAACATAATCTTAGTGTCCTTGATATTTCTGACAAATATGCAAAGAGTGCTGATGCATTAGCTTTTCTCCTCCCCTCGGCTACTTGAAAGTCTTGGGCCCCCTATCTTCAAGACACGTGGTTGACCTGACCCTATGACCGACCACCATTACCTCACCCCACCTTCCCTGCCCCCTGCTTTGTACTCAATGAATGTCAGGGTGTCCAGGCACTCGGTGCCACTGCAGGTCTACGTGCTTTGGCTGGCAGTGGACCCCTGAGCCCAAACTGTCTTTTCTCTACCTCTGGGTCTGTGTCTTCTATTTCTGCAGTTCCTCCTCTCTGCACCAGCAGGGAGGGGCTCACAGAACCCTCTAGGGCTGGACCCTATATTGAGGGTTTCATAAGGGGCTTCTCCCTGCTTCACTCTGTACCTCTCCTTGCTGCTGCCATGTGGAGAAGGACATGTCTGCTTTCCCTTTTGCCATGATTGTAAAATTCCTGAGGCCTCCCCAGTCACGCTGAACCATGAGTCAATTAAACCTTTTTTGTTTATTAATCACTCAGTCTTGGGTCTGTCTTTATTAACAGCATGAAACCAAGCTAATACACATGGTTAGTTATTTTGTCTTTGTCCCCAAAATTGTCTTTGTGCTAGACGTTAAAAATTACTGTTATTTAATCAGAATGACTTTTTCTGATAACATGATCAGATTTACATTTGTGTAAAGTCATAATTTCCTATTTTCTATTGTGAAATAGAATTTATTTTTGAGTAATATAATTTACTTTAAAGTATACATTGCAAATATGCACACACACACACACACACACGCACACACACACACACATACACACAGAGTTCTGTGTATTCCTAGGCAGACATAGGTAAAACTTAAGTATAAAAATTAAATGTGGGCCAGACACGGTGACCCACACCTGTAATTCCAGCAATTTGGGAGGCTATGGCGGGAGAATCACATGAGGTCTGGAGTTTGAGACCAGCCTAACCAATATGATAAAACCCCGTTTCTACTGAAAATACAAAAAAAAAGAAAAAATAGCTGGATGTGGTGTCATGGGCTTGTAATCCTAGCTACTTAAGAGGCTGAGATGGGAGAATCACTTGAACCTAGGAGGCTAAGGTTGCAATGAGCCAAGATGGCAACATTGCACTCCAGCTTGGGCAATCAGAGCAGAACTCCGTTTCAAAAAAAAAAAAAAAAATTAAATGTTACGTCGATAATACTAATATGTTTCTTATTAAAATTTAATAGAGAAAACTTACTACCTTGTAAACTAACTCATTAGCTTGCAATGGTTTCATGGTTGCCAGCAAAAGATTCAAGTCCTATGGCAAAGAACTTTATTATTATGTCAGAACAGGCAATGTGAGCTTCGCATTCATGCTTATTCTCCATGTTCCACAAATCACAGAGAAGCAATGCAGGTGGGCCTAGCCAGACGCTGTAAATGTTGATTTACATCACCCTGAGGAACGCTGAGTTGAGGAAACACTAAACTTTCATTATGAGATGCCAGAAAATCTGCCCAAACTTTGCCCAGAGAGAAGATATTATCTTAATTAAACTTTAACACACCAGCACACTGTTCTGGAATGAGATACCATCACTGTCTTACAATGTTATTTGTTATACAAATATTTGTGGATAGATAGGCCAAGAAAACACCATCAATATCTACTAATATTATGTGCAGAAATGCAAGAGGTTCATTGAGAATTGTTTCCCAATATCGATTATAGTCCTCTTACTCTTTGGTTTAATACACAAAACTTGTGTTTACAAAAAGATACATTGAAACATGAGTATTTGGTGGAGAGTAATGGCAGTGTAACCCATAAGTTTTTTAAAACTACCCTAGATATCGAGCTTTTCATATTAAATGTATATGTTGGCCTGGTTATCAGGGAAATGTGATTTTGAAATGTCAATCTCCATATTAGAATTCTAGCACCAAAAAGAAAATGCTTCCCTTGTTGGTGGGGTAGCTTTGAAATTCAATGGATTTTTTTTTTTGAGGCAGAGTCTTGCTCTGTCACCCAGGCTGGAGTGCAGTGAAACGATCTCAGCTCACTGCAACCTCCGCCTCTCTGGTTCAGGCATCTCTCCTGTCTCAGCCTTCTGAGTAGCTAGGATTACAGGCGCCTGTCACCATGCCCAGTTGATTTTTTTCTATTTTCAGTAGAGACTGGGTTTCACCATGTCGGCCAGGCTAGTCTCAAACTCCTGACCTCAGGTGATCTGCCTGCCTAAGCTTCCCAAATTGCTGTGATTACGGGGTAAGCCACCGCACCCAGCTGGAATTTTTGTTGTATTTTGTGAGTTCAAGAGCTGGAAGTATTTTGAATCTGAATATTTGATTTGGAATCTCCTTATGGAAATTAGATTGTCAATGATAATATAATAGATTATAATTTATTATCAATTAAACTTCACTGGCCACATAGACAAATTGAACTGTTGATTGGTGAACAAACACATAATTTTCTTATACTTTGTTTCAATTTACCTGTGGAATATATAATTTAGCAAAAAAAAATAATTAAGGGCCTCGATAGTGTTTCTCTATGTTTAACTTATTGTACATGTTTTAAAATTAGTTTGACCATATAATTTGTTAGGCAAACAATATCATATTGAGAAAGTAAGGGGATGCTATTAATTATTACACCATGACAGGTATAAATTAATATTCTGTTAGACAGATGAGAATGTACAGTCACACTATTTATAACCAAATTATATCACCATCAATAAGATTTTCTCCTAAATGGTCTCATGCAGACTTTTTATCTCAATGAGGGCTATGTTCTTACTAGAGAAATTGTTAAGTAATGGACATTTTACAAGCAACGCCATACCAGTATATATTAGAAAATTAGGCAGATTTAGTGTTTCTTATTTCTGTCTTTCCAGGTTAACTTGAATTCCGTTTTAATATTCATTGCATAAACCATAAAGTTCCAAGTTTATTGTGTCATGTTCTTTGTCAAGCACTGTGTTGTGCATTTCCCATCAATTATGTTGTTTAATCTTTATTCCACTCTGTGTTAGATGTTTCACTATTCTCACCATTTTGTAGCTGAAGAAATGAAGTCAAAGGAGACTAAGTGATGTGTGCCAAGTCCTGTGACCTATATGGAGTGGACCAGGTTTTGAACCCAGTCGGTCTGACTCCACAATTTGTGTTTTTAGCAGTGTTAAAGCAAACTAAATGTGACCTAAGAAGGACTGCGTACTTTCATATTTGAGTCCTTACGAACAAACTGCAGTGTAACTTAATAGGTAGACAAGATTGAAATCCTAATTTAGGAGTGTGTTCCTGTAACCAGAGCTGAGTCTTGGCTAATCCCAGCAGCCATACTTCAACCAGTCATATACTTCTGAGTGTTCGAACTGTGTTCAAATAAGGCAGATGCCAAGCTATAACCAACCCAGCTGTTTCTGCACCTCACCTTGATTTCTGTACATCCCTTCTTATTTTTTAGTCTATAAATTTGTTCTGACCACAAGGCATCCCTAGAGTATCTCTTAATCTGCTATAATTCTGGGAGCTGCCTCATTTACGAATCATTCATTGCTCAGTTAAACATTTTAGAGTTTATTTCAGCTGAAGTTTTTCCTTCAACGGCAGCTATACTCTTTTTGATGTGTATACTGTCTTACTAACAAAAGGTCAATGTTGTTATTCAGCTACATGTTTGAGATGGATAATCCGCAGGGCAAACAGTATCTAAATATGTATGATAATATAAACTAAAAATATCTATTTGCTTTCACTAAATGGTGGGGAAATAGTTGAACAATTAATTTTTTTCAATTTGCACAAATCAAGAAATGATAAGGATGACCTAAATCCATGAATATTGATAAGCCACAGTGAGCTGGAATAATTGCATGGTTTGATCCTTTAGTCTACACAGTATCCTCAGATTACAGATCTGTTAAGTTTATCAGCTGAACTACATTTTGATAGCCAACATAGAAAATTTAGCCAGTTATGAATAAATAAATTCTACCACTGGGAAAGATAAAAGTGAAATCCTCTTGAAATCACCCACAAGCTTTCTGCCCTCTCTATTATACTAATTTATTCCTTAACCTCTTCTCAGAAACCATAAAACAAAGTGGTGAACTTAGAAAACTGAGTCAGCTAAAGGATTATTTTATGTAGATATCTCCCTGCTCATTAGGGAGATGACTAGAAAGAGGGTCTTTAATTCAGCCTTCAAGTGCTTGAGAGAAAATTTCAACAGCGTCCAGTCCAGATGGTCTAATAGTCTATGATAAGAATAATGACATAGGAATCAATGAAAAAGAAAAGAAAAAAACCCTTTTATTACAAAGGCATCCAACCAGAGGGATAAAGAGGAAAGTTCTTCTTTACGGTGTCTAACTAAGGTCTGTTTAAATTAATTTCATGAAGAATGCATGCTGATTTATTGTTTGCCAAAAAAAAAAGTGTGATCTAGTAATCTAAGCATCCAAAATGCTCAATTTCATTAGGCTTAGAGAATAATAAAGGAAAAGACACGAGCTGTCTCTCCTGCAACGTGCATGCTACTATCGGCTCCATAGCTGGACATTTCTACAGAAATCAAAATGAGAATCTAAACTTACAGTATCATGATTCTGACATAAGAGACATAAGATAAGCTAGAAGTCAGTTAGTCTATTCAAATGCCAGAAGATCCAAGGAGACCGACCTCACTTCCTCCAACATCTCTTTTAGTACAAACACATAAGCAGCCAGAATAAGATTAGAACAAACATGATCGTAATACAGCTTGTACTAAGCCTTATCAAAGATACTCTGTCACTGTTTTCCTTCAAGCCAGGCACTCACTGTTATTTCCCTTAGTAGTCCATAACCCAGACTGATCTGCCCCACTCTGTTTTCCCCATGGCCTTTATTAGGTGCAAACATAGCATTTCAAAGCGACAGTTTTGTCTAGCATTTCCATTCAAAACATCATATGAGCCATGGATGGAGCTTGTAGATATAAAGGTGATGACGACAGAGTACCTACACTACAATTTTGCAGATTATGTGATGAAATAATTCGTTGCATAGGATTGAGGAAACAGATGTGGAAGATTTCTCACAAGAGATAATGCTCAAAATGAGTTTGAAGGCAATGTTGGAATATATGTGTAGAAATTAGGAAACCGTGTTTTATTGAAGTTTACTAGCCTATGGAAGATACAAATGCATGATGCTGCAACGTAAATTTCATAATATAGTGGAGATCTGTTTTATTTACTGAAGTTTCTCAAGCATAGATAATTGTCAGATGTGCGATAAACATTCAATGAATATTTTGTGGAATGAATGACAGAGTATGATGAATTTTAGCAACTTTCATTAACTTGATACTGCTGGAAGGGAGTACAAGGAGTTAAAGCTGATGCTGCAGTGCTGAGGCAGTAGCACAATAACAGAAGGCAGGATGTGATGATGTGCAAATATCTGGGGCTATGTTTCATTCACAGTTGTTTCTTTCTGATTTGGTAAATGGATGTGACTCTGTAGAGGAGAGGTAGAAAACTTAAGACAAAGAAAATAAGACAAAGAAAAAATTTTCACTGTCTTCTGATTCCTCAGAACTGGGAAGTTTTCAGGGTCCTCAGTGCTCTGGGAAGTTGTTTGAGCTCAGAATAACTGATTAAGAAACCAGGCCAGGGCCGGG